CGAACTGGATTCTGTAACCTTACTCTACAATCTGCAGGACCCATTTTGAGATATTTGGTAGAAGTTTCCACGCTACCAGAAAATCTACTAAGGGAACCAGCCTCTCGAGGCTGGCCTCTGGTATTATTAGAGATGACCGGCAGGGAACGACCGACCTGACTGCTGGACAAAATAACGGTCCGCAGATCTGTTTTCGGTCTAGAAGACCCGTACTGAGAGCGTCGCCCCGACCCCCGATCTTTCTGTGGAGGGATGCGGGTTGCAACACTCTGTTTTTGAGACTAGCGATATGAGGAGCTTGATGGCTTGGGCGGCTCCCGCTCAGCAGCACCACCCCTGAGCAAGTCAGCTGGTATGCTTGTAACACCGCCATGGTGTCCAAACATGCGCCAGCCTGACCTGCCGCCGTATAAGCTTTCCCAACCAGACTCGATGTAAGCCTAACGGGCCTGCTGGGAAGCTTCGGGGCCTTCAGGGACGATGCTGAGAATGGGGAGAGATAGCTCGCAAGCGTCTGCTCCACCACTGGCATCGCCCCCATATCCCTTATCATTCAGCCCCACGATGTTCTTTTGAATAATTCGAGCCTATGTGGCTGTAAATACAGGATGAGTACGGTTTCTCCCACAATCTTGACACCTCAGCATGGAGATCGGGGAAAAACGGAAGGCCCCCGTCGTGAAGGCTGTGATCTGGATTCAGAAAACGCTCGTCTAATTATTTTTAGGATGAGCGTCCTGTTTCTAGGCTGGCCAAACGATATTTTATTTTGGCGACTGCACGAGACACACCCCATAATCATGAATCACACCTCATACGCGAGGGACTGTGGTGGCGAGTCCACAGTCTCCTCTGTCTCGACACTCATCACATCCACCTCCTCGGAGGAAGATAGATGAAGCGTCTGGCTCTCTCTCACTGGGGGGGTGGGAAGAAACCGCAGTGCGGGCTTCCGAACATTGAGAGAGAGCCGTGGATATAGCGGGTGAGGACCGAGAAAAGGACGAGCCCGTCTCGGATCCCTCCGCTAAATCCACCCGCGATCCCCACGACAACGGTCTATGCCGTGCCTCGGCAACAGCGGGACCGTTCTCATCAAACACAGCCAGGCGAGAGCGGAGCATACGCAGCGAGAGTAACTCGCAGTGATGACAATCAGCTCCTCGAAAGCTGACCGTGCATGCTCCGCTCCCAAACAAACGACACACAAATCGTGTGTATCCCCTGCCACAGATAACTTTTTGCCCTCTTCATAGGGAGGAAGCGCAGAGAGCGTAATGACCTGTACTCTGAATGGAGTGGAGAGCACCTTTGGTACGTAACCATGCCTTGGTTTCAGGACGACCTTAGAGTCGTTAGGCCCGAATTCCAGGTAGGCAGGGCTAATGGAGAGCGCCTGCAGGTCCCCCATTCGCTTTGCTGATGCTAGCGCCAGAAGCAGAGCAGTCTTCAGCGACAGTGACAGAATGTTGGTAGACTGTAGCGGCTCAAAAAGGGGGCCCTTCAGGGCCCTCAGCACAGTGGGCAGATCCCATGAAGGGATGGTTAGGGGAAGAGGCGGATTCAGCCTCCTGGTGCCCCTTAAGAAGTGGATAACCGTGCTGTTTCTGCCCACCGATAGGCCCGCAATAGGGGCATGAGAGACATCCCTTATCCAGCAGCTCTTGCAGGAATGACAACACCGCTGACAGATTGGAAGTAGGAGGTTCTTTGCCGCGGTTTAGACACCCAGCGGAGAAAATAGACCACTTAAGGGCGTAGAGGCATCTCATAGATGGGGCTCTAGCCTCCAAAATTGTGTTTAAGACTCGCTCTGGGAGGCTTAAAGGCTACCGTCGAGTGGCCAGAGGTGTAGGGCCCACAGATCGGGCCGAGGGTGCCATATTGTCCTGTTTGCTTGGGAGAGGAGGCCCTGTCTCAATGGAATGGGCCAAGGGGCCGCTACCAACAGCTAAGTCAGCTCTGATAGCCACAGCTGGTTCATCCAGAGAGGGGCCACCAGGAGAACCTTGTGTTTTTGTTCCCTGATTCACCTGATTACCTGTGGGATCAGGGCGATCAGGGGAAATGCATAAAGAAGGATGTTGGGCCAATCGTGGGCTCTACCAGAATCTCACATGGTGTCCTTTTAGGACTGGCAGGAAGAACTGACAGGTTCGACACACTGCTAGCATTTCCAGGCAGTTAATGTGGAAACCTTTCTCCACCTTCGACCAGTGGCCGAAAGTCAGTATGCCTTTGCACAGCACCCCCCCAACCTGTGTTGGAGGCATCTGTCGTGACAACTGTCCTTCTGCAAACCATTCCCTGTTCCATCCAGCGAGAGCTCTTCCAGGGGACCAGGGCTGTTATCCAGCCAGTCGTCGAGGTAGTTGAAAATGTGGATTCCTATCTGTCTCAGAGGGGAGAGCCACGTACATGCAATTCATAAAAGTTCGGACGGCAAGGGACAGCCCGAAGGGAAGGACCGTGTATTGATAAGCCACTCCCTCGAAAGCAAATCTCATGAATCGCCTGTGACGGGGGGCTATCTGGATGTGAAAGGATCCATCCTTCAGGTCCAGAGAAAAGAACCAGTCTCCTGAGTGAATTAGAGCAAGGATCTGTTTTAGCATAGTCATCCTGAACGACCTTTTCATGAGGGCGTGATTCAGGCATCTGAGATCGAGGATGGGTCAGAGGCCAACATCTTTTTTGGGGGTGAGTAAGTAACGGCTGTAGTAGCCCGACTCGCTCTGAGCTGGAGGAACCATTTCTACAGCTCATTTTGCCAGCAGATTCATCACCTCTGAGTGCAGGACGTGAGCATCCCTGCTTTGCACTAAGGTGGGGACTACGCTGCTGAAGCATGGGGGTCTTCGAGCGAATTGGAGTGAATGTCCTCATTTTATTATCCCCATGACTCATCTCGACACTCCGGGGATGGCCTGTCAAGCTCTTTTAGTAAGCGCTTTTAGAATCGCTGGATGGCAGCAGGGGAAATGGACCGGAACTGCTGCGTCACTGAGGCGGCGGAGAAGCAGGTCAGCCATGCTGAGAGGTCCTGATTCCAGCTACAAAGGCGTGTCAACGGCGAGCAGGCTTCGGATCAGCATAGAGCGTAGTCGTCGCTGAAAGAGAAGAAATCTGAGAATCCTGTGGCGAACGCCCGCTTATATAGCTCCGCTGCCGAGCCATTGGTTCGTTTTTTATACACTGCATGAACCAATGGCTGTGCAGTTTCACTGCGTGATTGAAAAAAAGGCTTCAGTTCAGGAGAAAAAAGGCTTTTTCCCATAGTGTCTTAGCAGATGCAGTACGAGTTTAGTATCGACAGGGAACTGTATTTTTCTATCACCATTTAACTGCCTTAGTAGTTTCTACATTTGCATAATACTTTATATACTTTAATGCATAAAATTACACTTAATGCATTACAGTGCATTTATATGCCTCTTAATCAACCATACTGTATATTCAGTTCTATGTTTTGATGTATAACCATTCTGAATATACGCATATTGTGTATAATGTTTAGCTGTGGGCAAGTGAAAAAATAATTGTATAAGAGATAGAATTAATTGTTTTAAAAAATGTAAGCCTTCTTTGTGTCGCGTTGCTACTGTGTTGGAGCGCAGAGCGAGGAGACGAAGAGTACATCAATAAGGAGATTTTAATGACTTCAAGGGAACCAGGAAAAGACACGTAGCTGAGAAGGTTGACACATACATACATTCAAAATACCAGACGAGGAAGAATGGAAACACACAGCTTAAATAATAAGGGAGCTAATGGGACACAACTGGGAACAATATAACTAAAAGGGGAACACCTGGAAACACAATCAGGACAGGAACAGGAAGACCAATTAAGGACATAAACATAACCTGGAGCACGTGGGGGAAGAAAGCACACACAGACACGAAACAGAGTCTGACACTTTGTTCCTGTTCATTTATTCTTTAACCTCAGTCCTGTGTATCTATCCATGGTTTCACATGTTTATTTTTATTATAGATATCAAATTCACAGAGAAAGATCAACTTTGAACTCCAGCTCACTCCACTCCAGATCTTACACTAGATTTCAGATCAGTTATCATAGATATTTTAGTCTGAATATTTTTACTGTCAGCTTATTCCATTAAGTAAGGCCATTCAGTTTTTCTCAGCTGACTTTTATTGTTTTTATTCCGACTGTCTGTTATGTAAGGTTATGTATACAGCGGCTAGCTGTGTTAACTTTCATAAGGTTCCATTTGAAATTATTAATATTTCATGTAACTATTCCACATTACAGACTAAATTTAGCTAAATATCAGTAATAACTGAGACAATGGCTTTTGAAACTGGGCAACGTTCTCAATAAAGCAAGTTCTAGGAAAGGTGGATAATGAAGATAACACTAATTTTTTAAAGGTTATATTCCCTTGAATACATTATATCCGTTTGGGGATTTAAAAAAATTTTTTTTTTAAGGTATTATGCAACAGTACGCAACTAGTTGCAAAGATATTTCATACTGCTTCACTTATAAAAAGATTTTTAAAAATGATTGGAATTGTCATCATTTATGCAAAGAAAATTAATATATACTCAAGGCAGAATATTTTTGGCAGAATATTTTTGAGTAAAAAGGTTTGTAAAAGGTACATAATATTCTGTCTATCTACTTGTCATTTGAGTCAGCGGTAAAGATGGAGAGACAATTTGACAGAATTTTAACAAACAAACGGTTAAAAATGTAATTTAAGAGGACACAAAGAGAAAATGTCTTCTTTAGGACGTGGGGTATACAGCTGTTCCTTCAATAGGAATCTATCACTGGCTGCAGGTGCTGCTGAACTGATTTTTTTTTTACCTCTTCTGGAACAGCGCGAATGTTGGTGAAGCCCTTTCTAAAGACCACAAAGACTCGTCGAAAAAGAGAAAATGTCTTCTTTAGGACGTGGGGTATACAGCTGTTCCTTCAATAGGAATCTATCACTGGCTGCAGGTGCTGCTGAACTGATTTTTTTTTACCTCTTCTGGAACAGCGCGAATGTTGGTGAAGCCCTTTCTAAAGACCACAAAGACTCGTCGAGCTCCACAGCGGAGAGCAGAGGTGGCGCAGTCAAATGCTGTGTCTCCTGCACCTAGGACTATCACATTCCCATGCAGCTTTGACAGCTGTGAAAGGCAATTACACATGCCTGCAAAAGACACATGCCACAGAAAAAGACAAACGACACAAATTATAAGTAAAATTCAGTGCCATGAAATTTAACCAGCATCAAACACCATTAACAGAAACTATTAACAGTCTGACCACTGAATGCCACAACTGAGAACTACTAAGGAGAATTGTGTAATAACCACATTTGTTTTCTTCCCAGTCTGTGTAATATTGTTACAAGATAACACAAAAGGAAATAAGTCAAGTAAAATTACTGTGAAATGATAGCGGTTGATATCCAAAGATATACTGTAAATTCAGACTGTTTTACATTGCACCATGTTGAAAGGAATATAAACTGGAATCTCTTTCAGCACCTATTTTACTGGCCTTTGCAACCAAAGGTAGGAAATCCTTTGATGTGTAGAATCCCTGTTCTGTGGTCAAGCCCTCAAAGATCTTGTCCCTGTTTGCTTGTGGAAGACCTGTCAAGCATGAAAAAAAAATTAATAAAGAAGTAGATAATAGATCATAAATGCAACCTTAATGAACATAACCGATAATAAAAAAACTAATAAGCATATATTGCAATGAAAAACATCAAATGTGAATTGTAACTCAGTTCTGTAAATGTCAGTTCATTGTAAATTATAAGATGACCTGTTCTTTTTACTTCCAAAAATTACATTCAACATTATTTTAATGTAAAATTACATTAAATGTCCTGTTAGATTGATTAGCGTTTTTCATTGTATATACTAAGGGAACATAAGGGAACCCATTCTAAACATGTCTAAATTGTATTTCTGTTGATCTTATTCTTAAATTTTAATTTATCATCATCTACCCACCTTCATGTCACTTTTAACTCTAAAAGTTATTCGAATTAAAAAATGCATGGTGATCACTTTCTCTCAAGCTCAGTGGCAATATAGCATGCCTAATAAATAAATAATTATAATAATTACATTAATTCATCCATCCATTCTCCAAATAATTTATATTATGTATTCTCACATGCTAAACAAAAACTGAACCACAAGTCCAAAAAGTGAGTCGCAACTGTTACTTGTCCCCGCTCAAAATAAAATTAGGTGCATGATGCCCCTGAGCACTAATATTCATAGAGCATCTGGCATATTGTAGTAGGGCAAACGATCCATGTTAAAACCTCAGCGAAGTCTTGATTTGTTCAGTTTATATAAAAATTATGAGTACAAACATTAACTGTAACTACTGAGCATAAACACACTTCAGCAATTGAATATAAATCAGTGATCTAATAGAGTTTGTTTGGAATTATGTCCTCTGCAGACACATAATGTATAATAATGAACTAGAGGAACTAGGGCTGGGTAAAAACTATCGATATCTCGATATGAATCGATTCTAATTTTTATGGAATGATATCGATTCCTAAATCCCAAGAATCAATTAGTCTAGCCTGTTTTCAGTTAATGGACGGAACATTGAAGGGTACTTCCCATCCAATAAATCGCAATAAGCATTGTGTTTGGGTACTTTTAATATGAAACAAAGTCTCAGATTTCAAATTATGCCCATTGTATTGCAGTATTTAAACAATAAATGCAGATTTGGCGCTGTTTAATTTAAAGTGACAGATCGCGTGAACTGATCATCTCCTCCACATTAATACCAGTTTCAGCACAAAATAAACATGACTAAACATCTGAAGGTAAGTTAAAAGAAAGAGTACAATTTTACAATCCGTATCCTGTAATAGCTCAATCTGTGTTTCAGCCGCGCAAAGACGTCAATATAACGGCTTGTAAACAATGTCACGTAACGTCACATTTACCTCACAAAAACATATTCGGTGACCATAAACTCATTAGTCAGATAGAAAAATAAACTGTAGAGAGGGGCATTTTGCTTAATATATGCACCCTACATATTCATTAATATTGTTTACTGTTCTTTAATGTTTAATTTATGTTTGAATTAATCCATCAAGTGTTTATGATAGCCACCATTTAAATGTTTATACTGTATTAAAAAATAATAATAATTGAAGAAATATTAATATGTAACTGTAACTTTACTATTGTAAAAACTTAATTCATTTTAACCTTCAATATTATAGTAATGTGGTACCAACTGACTCTCATGTATATTTTACAGCATTAGTTGAGTTTTTTTTCCTTGAGAAAATTTGGCATGTACTGTACCTGATATATATCCAAAATAATCGATAGTGAATCGAATCGAATCGCAAGCTTGTGAACGAAAATCGAATCGAATCGTGAAATTTGTGTCAAAACCCAGCCCTAAAAGGAAAGGCAGGCGGCTTTCTTAAGAAGTATGTTGATAAGACAAAGGGCAAACAGAAATGGATCTAAGGGATACTTAACCCCCGTCACTTTAAATCTGTCTATTATGGCTGGCACGCACCCCAAGGATGTACTGCATGATGGAGGCTATCAATCTCTATCTCATTACGCCCATCATCACTGTTAGAGTGATGAACAAGAAGGCTTTGTGTGTGATGGGAGGGAAAACGCATCGTGTTCCTTGAAGCAACAAACAAAAACTTTTTTTGCCGAAGCATCAGAGAACAGATTAACATTTACGACATGCAGGAGGTAACTGGAAGTTCACAGATGCTCCAGGTACAAACATAATATTGCCTGTACTTCTCTGCCATCATTATAGGCTATTTAAAGTCTGTTCTGAACAGTGTAGGTGCTTCATACAAGGTAACATAAGGATAATGGTTAAATTTGTAAAGTTGTGCAGGTGAGAGCAGTTGTTTCGTACCACCATTTGACACTTCTCAGATCATATCCATCCACAAATTAAATACTAGTCTTTCCCTGTATGCCTATAATGCATTGAGCAACTGCAAGAGCTGAAGAGAAATACTGTGATTCACAGACTGGTAATGGTTTTACAGGAAAGGTAAGTTCAGAAGTAGACATGGTTTTAGAAATTAAATCTTACGAGGAACCCTGAAGGTGTTTTGTAAGTTCCTTTTCTATCTATTCAAAAAAAGCTCAAATTTAGTACGACTTCTAAAGTGAAAAATTACTTTAATGTAAACAAAGTTTATTTCCAGATTTAAACTGGATAATGCTGGGACTCAGAATTAAATTGTAATCAGGAAATAAATAGTTAGGATTTTGACAATTTTAAAACAAAAGTAGGGGCTCAGAACCCTGAATGTGCATTCTGAAACTCTCTATATGGTAAGCTGTTTTTGTCTTGTTTTTCCCTGATGCTAAAGCGAGTGTTACATGCATTAGGATTTTGTAGGATCGTATTACACATTTGTTTCCAGATTTTATACTTGAGTAATAAGGAAACACTTTGTTTTCTGCTCTGTGTTCTGTTGTGATCTTCTAGGCTAATCATTTACAGCCTGACCAATGAGGTGTGTGTGTTTCCGGGGGGGGATGGATGGATTTTGGCTTGTACTGTTCCTGGGTCAGCACCACAGCGAGGACATAAATTGAAGTTTGTGTGACTAACAGCAACACCAAGAAGTAATATACTACAATAAAAAGTAACCAGCTCAGTTTTGCTATAAATGTAAAGCACAACATATTGATATCCAATATACCATCTGCTGTTCAACTTTAGCTGAAAAGTAGTTCTTGGACCGCTTTCTTTAACAGCTTAAATGCCATATGCAGTAAAACGACACAAACATTTTTTTTTTAAAGAGTTTTATCCTTCACTTATTAATTGCTGTCAAACTATGATTTGTTAAGCATTACATAATGTAGTAATGTTAAAGTTTTTTTTTTTGTTTTTTTTTACATTTTTAATATAAAGTGACACTGAGAATTGTTTTTTAATCTAAGAAAATATTATATTTATTATGCAACTCCTTGCATTTCATAAGCTTTTGTAGGAAACTCAACTAATGTGACATTATGATATACACACTGACCTCAGTAAGACCTCCTCAGAGTCATATTCATTAGAACTGAGCATCTAGACCAATCTGCCTACCCATATGGTGTAGTTTAGAAGATGCATTCATCTTTTTCAATGCTTCAGATAAACCCACATGTCAGCCGCTAACCTTAAAGCATTCCAGGCTTAATTGCCTCCATTGTGAACAATTTTGTGGTGGGTGTACACTGAAAACTTTCAAGGAAATGGTCCAAAAATGTATATTTTGATGATAGCCCTTACTGAGACGGAGAGCGTACAACATGGCAATCACATGATAAAATGACAAAAAAGGATGTGCGTGGAACACGCCAGTTATTTTTACAGGCCAAAAAGAAACATACTTATCTGTGTTTTTCAACCATTTCTCCCTCTCAAAAGCAAAGGTACACATTTGCATGTCAATCACTGTAGAGGCTGACATTAGAGACAACATCAGAGAAGTGGTGAAAAAATATCACAGAGGCACAAATGTAATCATTTCCTTTATGATTCCCCAGCTTATTGCCATTGCTTTATGAGAAAAAGAAATCCCAGAGCAGTTCTGAGACTCACCCATCTCAATATCAATGAAGCTTAGCTACCAAAAAGTAGTGTTATTCAAACAATAAATGATACATATTCTTTTTAATTATAAGGAGAAGAAAGAAGCACAGAGTAAGCAGTCACCCTCGAGGAATGTTTGAATTTCTCAAATCAAATCAATACACCAATGCACACAATATTTCAGGACACATTTATTTCTGCGCAAAGAACCCACAAATGCCAAAGGGTGCCAAGCATTAAAGAATTAGTTGAAAAAGTTAAAATTCTGTCATCATTTACTCATCATCATCCTCATATCTATATTAAAACTATATTACTTGTTTTCTTATGTGAAGCACAGGAGGAGATATTTTTGAATAATGTACTGGTCGATCTTTTTCGAATTAGAATGAATGGAGACTGGAGTTTTCAAACTTCAAAAACGACCATAAAATCACCATAAAAGTGGTCCACACAACTCATGCACTATATTCTAAGCCTTCTGAAGTTATACAATTGATCTATTGTATCTATTTCTAATAGATAGAAATTCTGACTGAAATTCAAGTCATTATTCACTGATGTTCTTCCTCTTCAGTGAGCTGTACACTCTGCGACTTTGTAGCTTGTGAACTGGATCAACTGATTCATTGAAAAGATCTGACTCGGGCAATTCCTTATGAATCAGACTTCGCTACTTCTCTCAAGAACTTTAGAGAGCTAGGGATGATCTAAGTCTATGGTCTATTCCTCACACAAATGCAGCTTCAAATAGAGTCATATGAAGACCTGTTATGATACCTTTATGTTTTGTTTTTTTCATCATATTAGTGACTAGGACATTCTTAAAGTCTCAACGTAATGGAAGATATTTTCTTACATACTGTATCGTGGCATACATCTAAATGAAATGGATTATCGAAAAGAAAAATAATGAATGGCAGGGACTTGGTTCAGTTCATTGGTTGTTGATTGGATGGAAGCAGATCTGAATGCCAGCTTGCAGTAGATTTTAAGAAAGGGACAATGTTTAAGTGGACTAAATAATTGGCATACGTCACCAGAGACAAATTTGTCATTTAAATGGAAGATCAAGTTATGACATGTTTTAATTAAAGATTACCATAAAAAGGGGTGGGAAATTCTGCATCACAACATTATAATGTACAGTATGAAAAATTTATATTCATTTTGAGATTTGCTAAAGATTACATTTAACAGTGTTATTAAATTATTTGTGTTTCAATGATTGTAAAAACAGAGGAAATTAGCAGCACACTTATATATCCAACAACGGCCGATATAAACTACTGTTCAAAAGTTTGGAGTCTATATGATTTTTTTAAATGTTTTTGAAATAAGTTTTTTATGCTCACCAAGGCCATATTAATTTGATCAATAATGCTGTATAAACAGTAATACTGTGAAATATAAACTTTTAAATTATTGTTCCCTATCAGTCAGTCACGTTCGACGTTATGTCGACACTGATGTTAGGGGTCCCAATCACCTCTGAGCATTACAAGAATCAGCCAAATAAAATTGACGCAGAAGACTCTGGTGAGCAGCCCCCAGTTTTGGCGGCTGCACAGTTGGAGTCAGAAGCAGAGTTGACAGCCATGGTCCTTTGGGATCCAAGAGTATTGGGCTGGAGGTGAACTCGCCTCCATCCCCCGATCACTCACGGCTGGACGATTGGTATCTGGGATCCAGACGTGACTCTCAGCCATGCTCAGCCCCAGTGCCTTTCTTCCAGAAGGTTCATGAAGCGCTTACCAAAAGTGTAAGGACCCCTACAACGCCCGGTCAAGTTTGAGCTCTTCCCTCCTCACTACCCTCAATGGTGGGTACCAAGGGGTACATCGATGTTACCCAAGTTGAGCGTGCAGTTGCTGTGCACCTGTGCCCGCAAAATGCCACCACCTGGAGAAAATTCAGAGCCTCCCGTCCAAAGCTTGTAAACTGTCGTCAGCCCTGGATGCCAAGGATTACAGTGCTGCGGGCCAGGCTTCCTCCGCCCTGCACGCCATGGCTAGCGCTCAAAAAGCTGCACGAGGGTAGTTCTGACCAGGGGTTGATGCAGGAGTTGTGCACGGTGACTGACTTTGCCCTTTGGGTAGTTCAGGAGCGCCATCTCTGGCTGAATCTGGCTGAGATGCGGGACGCCGACAAAGTCAGTTTTCTCGAAACCCCTGTCTCACAGGATGGCCTCTTCAGAGACACTGTTAAAGACTTTGCCAAGCAGTTATCGGCGCTTGTGGCGTCATTCCTCTGGTTAGGATACGTGCGGTTATCTTCATCCAGTAAGTTCACCATCTGGTGAATCAGGGTCGATTCCTCCAGCACCCTGTGGTATTCGACTTAGTGGAGACTTGGACTTACTAGACTAGACTTATTCGTCCTCCCTGGTTAGCCCGTATTATTTGATAGATGATCTGGCTTATAGGTCATTGGGTAGGTTATGGATTGAGGAGCATCTGTACTGACACACTTGCTTGTCAGCACCTGCACCTTCAATAGGGACCCCTAACGTCAGTGTCGACGTAACGTAGAACGTGACTGACTGATAGGGAACGTCTTGGCTACGTATGTAACCCTCATTCCCTGAAGGAGGGAATGGAGACATTACATCCCTCATGCCACAACCATGAACTGTGCTGAATGCCAGGATGCTTCTCGTTTCCTCACCACAAACCTGAATAAGTGGATGCACGCCACTATCTTATATGTATACTCGTATACGAGTGACTTGGCATGCAAATTCCACTTGCCAATTTTCATTGGCTGTTGTAATGCTCTTGTGATGCTCAGAGGTGACTGGGGCTCCCAAGTGAGACCCCTAACACCAGTGTCAACATAACATCTTCTTTCCATCATTCAGGGAATGAGGGTTACATACGCAACCAAGATGTTTTCTATTT